CAGCACCTAATGTTTATCAGATGTTTTGCATTTTAAAAGATCAGTGGAGCCTTCGCCAAAATGTTTCAGTGTTGTGGGTGTGGGGAATCTCTGGCCTTCCAGATGTTGCTAACTCCCCATCATCTGTGGCCATTGGTCATGCTTGCTGGGGCTGGTAGGAGTTGTACTTCAGCACATCTGGAGGGCCAAAGGTTCGCCGCACCTGCAGCTTTCATTCTGGAGTGGTTAAGTCCTGGGTTACTATGGGCAGGTTTTTTCACACCACGTCAGATCATCTATCTAACTCAGGATCAACTACATGGACTGGCAGCTGCTCTTGAAGGTTTTAGAAAGAAGGCCTTCTCAGCTGGATCTGGGACCTTATGCATGCAAAGAAAAAATAACTCTAATATTTTATGGGGGAAAGTAATTTTACATCACAGTTGCATTTACTTAAAACTTTTTGAAGGATCTGATAAGTCTGTATACACAAGAGATCTCCTGATATTTGTGCTTGCTGCAACAACGCTATTCGTTGCCCAGATGTGTCAGAGAGTAGACCTATGATGTAAAAATGTGTGCAGTTTGGCTATACCTGTAATGTAGCATGCAATGTAATGGTGCTGAAAGGAAAGCAAAAGAAAGCAAATGCCTTTTATGCCACCTGCTGGCAGTTTATTTCCTATGCTAGGGGAAAGGATCTGTGAAATAGGTTTTCGGCTGCATCGCTACATATCTGGATGTTGTGACCAGTGGATGGATGCTTCCATACAACCCTGATAAAAGATATTATAAACACCGGTGATGTTGGGGGCAGAGGGAAGGGGGTGGCAGGCTTATGCTTAGTTTGCTAGTTGTATTTTGATGTGCAGCTATTAAAACCAACGCAAATACTTACAAAATAATAAAATAATAATAATTTCACTGGGGAGGGGGCCCTGTAGCACCAGAGAAGGCATCCAACCTTAGTTTTTAAAGGACGATTAGATAAATGAATGGAGGGTGACTTTCAATGGCTGCTCATCGTGATGGCTACGTTATCCCCATGATCTGAGACAACACATCTCTCAGTACCAGCCACTGGGGATCCTGAGTGTGAGAGTACTTTTTTATAGGTTGTTCACTGTTGTGAGGACAGAATCAGGGCCAGATTAAGACCTTTAGAGGCCTGAAGCACCAAAAAGATTTTGGTGTTCCCCAGTGTTGTTTTTTCTAGAAAAAGAGGTGCTGGAACTCACCATGAACACGTCCCTTGTTCTCTTATAATGGCAATGGCACCCACCTGAGAGGTGATGAAACTAAGTTCTGGTTGGTTCTCCTAGCCCTGGTGCTCCCCCATAAAAACAATACTAAGTTGGTTGATTGATTGATTGATTGATTGATTGATTGATTTGCAGGTGATTAGGTCAGGGGTGTTATGATTATGCTTAGCTGTCTAGTTATATTTTGTTATATGTCTATGAAAACCAATAAAATTTATTATTATTATTATTATTATTACTGCTACTACTACTACTACTTCAGTGTGGAGGGGGCCCTGTGAGTGCCAGGGGAGACCACCAACTTGAAAAGCTTTAAAATGGATAGATAAACCAATGACTGATGACCATCAATGGCTACTATTCATGAAGGCTACATTGCCTCCAGTATCTGAAGCCACGGGTTCCTGGGATAGCTCAGTTGGCAGAGCATGAGACTCTTAATTTCAGGGTCCTTGATTCAAGCCCCAAACTGGGCAAAATATTCCTGCATTGTAGGGGGTTGTACTAGATGACCCTTGTGGTCCCTTCCAGCTCTACAAATTCTCTGATTCTGTGCAGGTCTTCTCAAGACCAGTCCCTGGGGATCACGAGTAGGCGAGTGAACTAGATGGAATATTGGCTGGAGCTAGATGGAGGAGTCTAAGGCAACTTCCTATATCCCTTTCAAACAGAGCAAACTGCAGGTATATGGCATGGCATGCTAAATGTAAAAAGGAGCGGTGTCCTTGAGGTATACACAAACACAAGTCTCTCCCTGTGGTTTCACCACCTTGCACATTTTTCAGGATCTGAAAGAAGAGGATGGGGCTGTTCCCTATGATGTCTTACCCCTCCCCCTTTCAAAATGTTGACAAAACAACTGATTGTGTATGAAGAAAGCACATTTGGAGTCAGTGGACCAGCAGCATTTAGAGTGAGTGGGCCAGTGCTGTTGTTTTTCCACTGTGCCCATAAAGACAGCTTGCCTACCACTCCTGATCATCCCCGGCCATGCAGGGCTCTAGGTATGTGCTGTGTACATTCTAGGATGCAGTTGTGGCAGGATCACTCTACGCCTGGCAACGAACCACAGAAATGGCATGTGCACCCTAGAATGTTCCCTGGAATCTGCTGTAAGCAGAAATGCCAAGCTATTCAGGGATACCACAGAACAGCTTCATGCTGACCTTCCCAAATATCTCCTCTTTGCCATTGAAACCTTATGCAATCACCCCTTCCCAAGAACCAGCATGTCCTGGATGTAAGGCAGACTAATAGCCCTAGCAAAGCATTCCTCCCTTACCTGGTTTTCTTTCCCTTGCTTTGTTGGCAGGAAATCTTTATGCAGAGGCACCAGCTGAGAGGCGTTAGGTTGGTGGTGTGAGATATATATACTCTCCAGCAAAAGGTGAGTAAGTAGCCCTATCACTGGGCAGGGAGAAGATATGAAAAGAAAAGGCAGTTTCGAGGAGGGTGTTTTAAGGTGGAGAGAAATATGTGATAAAGAAGGAAACAGGGAGGTGTAACAAAGAAGGAAAGAGGGCCAACATGTGCAGGTGTGTCTTGTGGGGGAATCTGTGGATCCAATTGTGCCATGGAACTTTTGTTTGTTTGTTTATTCAGGACTGTTTTCCTCCAGTCACCAGAAGGAAGCAAATGGCTGTCCTGACAAGAAGCGTTTCTAAGGGTGGGCATGAAGTAAGTGCAGGTGAATCAGTCCGTTTTGGTTTCTTTCTGTTTCTCATTTCCCCCCAATCAAATTCTCCACATTTGCACAAGAGATTGGCAAAGTGGGTAGGAACAGGCAGTGTTGACGAACCACACAAGCAGTGGTGACAACCCCTAGTCCTCAGTATTTCTGTAGCACACGCCATACATAGAAACTTCCTGTCTCTGAATGGCAATGGCCAACTTTTGCGCATCATGCATTCAAACCAGGGTTTTAATCAGATGAGCAAATAAGCAGGTTCCTGGACGGAGGATCAAGACTGCTGTACTTCTCCCCTGTTCCTACTGCTGTCCTTCCCTGGGGAAAGCCATGATTTGGCTGAACAGTACATCCGGACCTGGCCTTGTGGTTTGTCTCACTCCAGAGAAACCATGAGTTGCAATCAAGAGTTATTCTTGTTTGGCAAAGCTATTGCCTCATGTGCCTCAGCTGTCAGGCCTAATGCACAAGCCGAGTGAATGTGCAACTGAGGACAAGCCTGTAAATTTTACCTCTGCCCAGCAGTATTTCTGTCTTGCCACACAGACATGAGTCAGAGTTCAAGGACCCATGCCAGCCAGGCAAAAGTAACCTAAGAGGCTTCAGAAGGCCACATTTGGACCCCAGGCCTGAGGTTCCGCACCCGTGGTCGGACTTTCAAGCTCTATCCATCAGAGCTTCACAAACCAGATTTGGGCACAGTGGCCACTCAGGGCTGCAGCTTGCTCTCAAAAGGCACAGGTGAAATGGTGCACATCTCTGATGCTTATTGTCATTATCATTTGGCGTATTTAAGCAGCCCGCTTCAAAAATGCTTCTAAGCGACTTCCAAGAAAATTCACGGCCAAAACCAATGACCCTTAAAACAGACCCAGCAGAAGAGCGAAGCTTCAGCCACAAGAAACATGGAGCAGCAAGCGGCCACTTTTTGTGGGTTTCGTCTTAATCTTTGAAATCAATGCTCAGAATTACAAATGAAATAATAAAAGGGTACAGAAAGCTGAGCTTGATCAGATGACAAGCAAGGCTTATAATAACTCTCAAGTGAATTGTACGTTCTACAACAATTTAAGTAAAGGTGTAACAGGATCAAGCATTTAGGCTTACCTAAGCTTAATCATGAAAAGTGAAAATTATTTACAGAAAGAAAGAAAGAAAGAAAGAAAGAAAGAAAGAAAGAAAGAAAGAGAGAGAGAGAGAAAGAGGAGGGAGAAGGACTATGACTATATAATCATCAGGGCTGTCTTAAGCACATGTGGCGCCAGGGTGCAAAAATCCGCCCGGCACACACACCTTGCCACCGCCGCCTTCTGGACGGAGCTGCTACAGCGGGAGCTCAGTCAGATGCCAGGTGTTGGCAACAGGGAGGGGGTTACAAATCAAATAAAATGCCCAGGGACTCTGCTGAACCGATTTCTTTGTCGCCTGTGTTGTCCTCCCTGCTCACATGTTGCCCTCCATCTCCAGCAAGGTGCCTAAAATTTGGGAGGCAGAGAAAGGGAAGGAGGAAAGTTAAGGCTGGCTGCCACCGGGCACCCAAGTGGCAAGCCTCTGCGGACGGCTCATGAAAGCCTGTCTGGGGACCTGGAATGCCCGCTCGCTTTGGTCCCATGGTGGTGCGGCACCTTAAGACTTTGATGATGACACCGCTGTCAGACGCTGGGCAGGAGGGGGGTTGGGGTGGAGAGCCACCCGCAGCAGAAGAGACCACCGCAGCACTCCAACCGACGGGCGGGCTCTTCCCCGGACTCAACTCTCGGGCCCCGGACTCTCGGCCGGGGGTCCCTGAGAGCCTGGCACCCGGGTGCCTCACACCCCTAGTGCATATGGATAAGACAGCCCTAATAATTATGGGAAAGTCTTGAGTAGCAGATCAGATGTAGCTTCCTAACTGTAAAGCAGGTGTGAGGAAGCTCTGGCCATTCAGGTTGTTGCTGAACTACATCTCTGAGCATCCCTGGACACTGGCCATTCTTACTGGATGGAGCTGATGGGAATTGTAGTTCGGAGCCAAAGGTTCTCCATGCCTGCTTTAAAGCAATGTAAACTGGGGTAGCGATTTGAGGGGGGCATTCTTTTTCATGCTAGTTTATTCAAAGAATTCACAGCAGGGAATGACAAAGAATCACAGTGACCCTGCAAAAAGTGAAGAAAGTTGCTTCCGCCTGCTCCTTTCAGCCGCTGTTGGTGGCTGGGGATGGGCTGCACTTGATTTTCTTCAGGAGGAAGTCCATGGCTCCAGTAACGAGGTACGTCTGCACAGGCAAATTGCAGGCAGTTGCTGAGGCACAGCCTGATGCTATAAAGGGAAGAGCGGCAGCATCTCCTGAAGCAGAGAATAGAGATGGAGACAAAAGTTGATTCAGTTCCCATTAAAAGGTCAGCCCTGACACATACCTTCCAAAAGGTTGTTGCTGCTGCTGCTGTTGTTATATGCCACCCCAACCACTCTGGGCGGCTTCCAACACAATTTTAGGCAAATAGTTGTTTATCTGTTTGACATCTGATGGGACGGGAGGGCATTCCACAGGGCAGCCGCCACTACCGAGAAGGCCCTTTGCCTGGGTCCCTGTAGAAGAATGTGTTCTGGGAAGGAGAAGGAAGAAGAATGACTGGGGTCCATCTTGGGCAGGCTGCTGCACCGGGTGTGGGGGACAAGCCGCTCTTGAAATAACCATGCAGTAAGATCAGGACTTCCTGCTTAGGGAAGTTTTTAATGTTTTATGTTTTATTGTATTTTTAATACTTTGTTGGAAGCTGCCCAGTGTGGCTGGGGAGACCCAGCCAGATGGGTGGGGTATAAATATGTTGTTGTTGTTGTTCCATGCAGACTGTAAATAGGTGAACAAGGCATCTTTTTTAAAGCTACGACAGTCTCTGCAGTGTCTCAGTTCTCCAAAGGAGCATGGACCCTTGGTGAGTGCCTGGAACCCCTTGGAATCTTTCTGCAGCTCGGCAGAGAGTGGGGGTGGCACCTAACTTTTGTAACAATATGAATTCTATTAGTGTTTAATTGACTTTTTATGTTTTTAGCTTGTTCTACTTTATCTGTGAAAGCCGTCTTGAGTCCTGGACTAGGAAAAAGGAATATTAGTATTAATAGTATTATTCCAGACAGACCAAACTGAAAGGGGTGGACTTTCCTGCAACAGCCGTTAGGAAGGGGTAGTCCTTTGATTCTCTTGGCTGACAAAATAGGTGAAAGAAATTTGCTTCTCCAAAGGTAGGGAGCACCTCAGTTATGAGACTTTGTGTTTGAATTCTCCAGGGAAGTACATGCAAGACAATTTTAGGTTATATTTTAGTGATCAAGATTTGATATATTTTTTTAACTGCCGCTATATCTGAATTGTCTCTGTTAAACCCAATTGCAATTCAGTGTATCCCTGCTTTGTTTTAGGATTTTCCTAATATTGTAAGTGACCCGGAACTGGTCTGTAACCGTAATAATAAAATTCAATACATGCAAGACATCCGTCTTTTGCAATACTAGAGAACACTGGTGCTCTGGGACCCAACAGGAGCTTAAAGTGAGTCCTACCTGCAGTTAGCTCCCCGGCCGCAGAGATGCAATTATTTTCATCTCCTGTGCAACTCAGAGTCCCGGGTTCTTCTAAGTGGTTAGAGCCAAGTGCAAAACTAGTGGGACAATTCACTCCATTCTTGGTGAGGTTCTTGGGTGGTACTGGAGGGACGCAGGAAAGAGAGAAAGCTGACCGCGTTAAAAAAACAGCAATTGTCAAAGCGGGTACAATTGAGAATAAATAAATAAAAGAATCCCAAGCTCCTGGGAGCCCAAAGCACTCAGACAGAAGCAGCTGTGGATGCCAAGGGGTGGGGGAAACCTCTGGCCTGCCAGCCAATTGTGGCACACTTCAAATCCCATATTCAGTAGTAACCTCATTCATATGCCCAACATTTCTCGATCTACAGTGGTACCTCGGGTTAAGTACTTAATTTGTTCCGGAGGTCCGTACTTAACCTGAAACTGTTCTTAACCTGAAGCACCACTTTAGCTAATAGGGCCTCCTGCTGCCGCCACACCGCCGGAGCCTGATTACTGTTCTTATCCTGAAGCAAAGGTCTTAACCTGAAGCACTATTTCTGGCTTAGTGGAGTGTGTAACCTGAAGCGTATGTAACCTGAAGCATATGTAACCCGAGGTACCACTGTACTGGACCCACCCCCCGTGTGTGTGTGTGTGTGTGTGTCTACATTATCACTAGAAAGCATTCCGGACCCCCCTCTTCTCCCAGAACCTGGCGAGCCTTCAAATTAGGAGAGCAAAGGGCTCAGAAGCAAAGGGCCCTCAGTGCTACCCGTGGAAGGAATGACGAATGAGGAAGTGGAAGAGAAGGGAAGAGGAGATTTACTCGCAGAAATGCCATTATTCCTAGAGGCAGCATTTCTAAGCATCTCTCTGTGACTATTGAACAAAACGCAGTTGGTAAGAACTTTCCCTTGTCTTGTCCATTCCTGGCAACCTGCTGTGGGGGTTGGTTCCTCTGCTGCCTGACACCCAGGCCATTAGCTAAAGGTTCTGACATTGTAAGGGTCCGAGAGCGACATCAAGCCTTTGATTGTCTTGAGCCACTGTACAGGCACTTGGCATCCAAAGGCAGGGGAGAAGCTGTTGAAATAAATCATTAGCCATCAGGGATCATTAACCCCCTTTGCCATTGAGAGCCACTCAATGGAAAACTAGCAACAGGTCCTTTTGTTGTGGGCTGTGGCAAAGGGCTGGTGCTGTGAGAGCAAACAGAGAAGCATGTCAGACCATGGGGCCATCTAGGCCAGTATTGTCTACACTACTGGCAGCAGCTCTCCAAGGTCTCAGACAGAGGCCTTTCCCAGTCTTGCCTGGGCATGCTGGGGATGAACCACAGACCTTGTTCACACAATGGCAGGTACCACAGTCCTAATGTCCTTGGCTAACTGTCCTCGCTCCCAAAGCAAACTTATCAAGGTCTGGACCTCCCTTCACATACATTCAAGGGGAGTATTATTGCAGTTTTCTGTCATGCAGCATTTGGAAACGGTCCTCGTAAAATACCCTCCAGCCACAGTAACAGAGACGGCTTCATTGCAAAGCTGAGAATCCTGCTGGCAGCCCCTGGATATTCCTGTGGCAGCGGTTCCTCCTGTTTAAAAAACAAAACGAAACAGAGGGGAATCATAATGGAGTTGGGGAACATGCCTACAAGGTGGTACCTGCCTGAGGAAAAGGACAAGATGTCACCGCTGCCACCCATTGCTAAAGACAATTTGGATGGAGCAGAATTGCACACATAAAAATGGAGGAAAATCACAAAGGGGTGAGGGGACCCGTCTGCAAGGCAGACATTTTCCTGCCTATATTTTGATAGGAAAATACATTTTCCAACTATTTTGGGTTAGGGTTTCTTTAAAAATTATTATTATTATTATTATTATTATTATTATTATTATTATTATTATTTGCAGAGTGGCACAGAAATGAGACAGAACAGACTTCTGTAAACGCATTAGTGAAAACAGGCTGATTGACCCACCCCTGTTCTTTGTGAGTACCTGCCTGACTTCAGGAGGTAAGAGAGCGTGAAACAGAGCCTCCTTTAAAAGCCTCATGTGCCCAACAGCAGGACCGGGCCTGGTAGTTCAGTTTTCAATGGATCAGACTGGTCCTGGAAGCTTCTCCTGCAAATGTAGCCCAGAAGTGAGCGGGCTACAGGTGCAAGCACAAGGGAAATACGCATATGCGTATATACCATGTTATTTTCCTGGGCTATTGTTATGCAGATGGCTTCTGACTCTGGAATTGAACAGGTACCAGTACTGCATGCTGGGCTTTCAGTACAGACACAATTTAGGGAGTTTGCTAGCAGAAAAAGAAAATAGGGATGGAGAGGAGGAGAGAAAGCATCATTGTTTCATTATTTCATTTCATAAATTTTAAAGTATGCTTTTAAAATTGAATAATAATAAATAATAATAATTTATTATTTATACCCCGCCCATCTAGCTGGTTTCCTCAGCCACTCTGGCCGGCTCCCAACAGATTAAAAATACTCTAAAACATCAAATATTAAAAATTTCCCTAAACAGGGCTGCCTTCTGATATCTTCTAAAAGTCAGATAGCTGTTTATTTCCTTGACATCCAAAGGGAGGGTGTTCCACAGGACGGGTGCCACTACCAAGAAGGCCTTCTGCCTGGTTCCCTGTAACCTCACTTCTCGAGTGAGGGAACTGCCAAAAGGCCCTCAGAGCTGGACCTCAAAGTCCGGGCTGAATGATGGAGGTGGAGACGCTCCTTCAGGTATACTGGACCGAGGCCGTTTAGGGCTTTAAAGATCAGCACCAACACTTTGAATTGTGCTCGGAAACGTACCGGGAGCCAATGTAGATCTTTCAGGACTGGTGTTATATGGTCTCGGCGGCTGCTCCCAGGCACCAGTCTAGCTGCTGCATTCAAATAATTCAAATAATTCCAGGTGGGATGCATGGATTCGTTCCTGCTCACATCCTCCTCACAGAACTTCTCAGTTGCTGTGGGAAAATGGCAAGCACTCCCCACCACCCCTCCCTGTGGCTTCCAGCAGCCAGCATTCAGAAGCATTACTGCCTCTGACCACAAGAGCAGGGCAAAGCCATTGTGGGCAGTGGCCATTGATAGCCTCTGTGATTTTGTCTAATCCTCTTTTAAAGCCATCTAAGTGGCCGTCCATGGAGTTTTTGCCAACAAAGGTCCGTATAGTTAAAGCTATGGTTTTCCCAGTAGTGATGTATGGAAGTGAGAGCTGGACGATAAAGAAGGCTGATCGCCGAAGAATTGATGCTTTCGAATTATGGTGCTGGAGGAGACTCTTGAGAGTCCCATGGACTGCAAGAAGATCAAACCTCTCCATTCTTAAGGAAATCAGCCCTGAGTGCTCACTGGAAGGACAGATTGTGAAGCTGAGGCTCCAATACTTTGGCCACCTCATGAGAAGAGAAGACTCCCTGGAAAAGACCCTGATGTTGGGAAAGATGGAGGGCACAAGGAGAAGGGGACGACAGAGGATGAGATGGCTGGATATTGTTCTTGAAGCTACCAGCATGACCAAACTGCAGGAGGCAGTGGAAGACAGAAGTGCCTGGCGTGCTCTGGTCCACGGGGTCACAAAGAGTCAGACATGACTAAACGACTAAACAACAACAAGTGGCTGTCACTGCCTCCTGTGGGAGCAAGTTCCATAGTTTAACGACGAGCTTCGTGTTGGCCTCACCTGTAGCTACAAGGGCAGCAGAAAGGTGGAGGAGAAACAGCTTCATCTCTGGGAACAAGAAAGGTCCGGCTTCAACAATGGCCAAACACCAAGGTCGGGTGGTTTCTGCAGCCGCAGGACTGAAAAGGTAAGGGACAGGTTAAGCCAGCAAGAGAGAATCAGCCCAGCACAGAAGGACAACGGTGTCCAAAGGGATGTCAGGCGAGACTGGGAAAACCTCATTCTAATACCTTGGAGGTTTCCACCACTTTGCGGCTCAAATCCTGTGGAATGATATGAGCCCACTCAGCATATTCATTAACATAGCTGATTAACGTTTAATCTGTAATGTGGCTTGCCTGTTCAGTGTGCATAGGAAACATCAACAATTGTTCTGAGAAAACTTGGTATACTTGTTTGCATAACAATATTCTTGTTTATAAAACCCAATTGAAAAAAGAAAAACAATTGATATGGTTTTTTGGCATTCCCTGTTTAGGGAAGTTTTTAATGTTTGAAGTTTTATTCTGTTTTTAGTGTTCTGTTGGGAGCTGCTCAGAGTGGCTGGGGAAACCCAGACAGATGGGTGGGGTATAAATAATGAAAGTATTATTATTATTATTATTATTATTATTATTATTATTATTATTATTACCATTTTCCTAATATGGATGCAAATGGAAGTTTATTCTGTGTCTCACATGCCTACTGTTCCCTTCGCCTGTGACATGTGCTCTCAGAAGCCTGTCCCTTCTTTGGCTATGTACACACCTTGCGGTTTGTTAAGGGTGCTGGGATCTGTAGCTGTGAGAATTCTTCTGAGGAATGAATGTGCTTTAAATGGTTGGTGTCTATGCAGCTTTCCCTTGAACCCTCTGACTGCTTCCTGTCTGTCTCCTGTGTGTTTTTCTTTCACTCTCACTGTGAGTTTGTCTGTGTTTTCTGCTATGCTGGTCGCACTGACTGGCTTAAGCAATCATCTCTCTTTCTCTCCACTTTGGTGATTCCAAGCTGTAAATTGAGACCAAGAGCATTGACTGAGTTCCTCATTTTTGCAATTCAGATCAGAGTGCTCTGCCAGGAATCGACTGGTCAGCTTGGGCAGCTGCCCACACTTCAGAATGCCAGCTCTTGTATTACTTGGCAAAGGCACAAAACAGAATGCTTAGTTGTCACTGTTCGTGCCACAGGCATCTCTGAAGAGAGCCAGCTGCAACCAACTCCTACTCAGAGTAGAAATGTTGGGCTTAATGGTCATGACTGGACTTAGTTCTATGGACCTACTCTGAGCCATGCTTGGTTATAACCCAACTGATTTTCGAATCTGGGGTTTTAATTTATTACACTAAGATTTATGCAATGGCTGTTCAATAAAAATGGAACTGGCATACCCACCCAGGTTCAGAATCACTTTGCTATGGTTTTCGTTGGTTTATTCTGTATTTTGTGTTCTCATTTTGTATTGTCATGTTGTGATCCGCCCTGTGATCTTCGGATGAAGGGCAGTATACAAATTTAATAAGTAATCAAATGCACCAGCTGGTTTGCATACACTGAGTATATGCCCTACAACCTAGAGCAGGCATGCAACCATCTAGACATTGTTGGACTACAACTCCCATCATTTTTAACCACTGGCCATGTTGGTGGTGGAGTCTAGCAATTTCCGGAATATCAAAGGTTCCCCATTCTTCTAGAATATGTTCCAGAAACCTTGTATCCCTCAGAACATAGGTTAGTATGGAAAGAGTTAGCTGTAAGAGAAATCTGGGAAACACAAACTGAGCTGGGAAATGTTTATGTGTAAGCATGAATATTTAAGTGTGTCTCTCTCTGTGTGTGTATTCCAGATATGCAAGATAAAAAAGAACAACATAAATTGCAAGCAATAAATACCAAAAAAATGCAATTATTGTTCAAAGGAAAAACAAAATAACTTTTCTGTAGAAAATCAGATACAAACAAATAACTACAATGAGAATAGGATCAGCATCATGTATTATTGTTCAGTGCACACCAGGTAAGTTCAAGCAGCAAATCAAACAGCAAGTGTTCCAGCAATAATTTTTTTTAAAAAAATCTACAAAACATTTATTAATCAATAGTTGTTCTGTTTATTCACAGGTGGAAGGGATGAAGGGATAAATGAAAGCTAACTCGGCCAGATCCAACTGTTTGCTGGCTGAGGGGACTGCTCATTCACTTCAACAACTTTATGTGTTGTAAAATCAAATAACACTGATAAGATTAAGGATGACTGTTTGTAAGGTAGGGTGGAATGACTAAATCCTTCAACTATCAATCAAAATTTCTTTCTTTCTTTCCTTCTTTCGTTAAGGTCACATTTGCCTTACCCCAAACCCTGTTCAAACACCAACCAGCCTTAACTGGGAAGCTCACGAGTATTTTATCTGCTAAGGATTCATCTTTTACCTGTTTTTCTCCGCTTCCTAGATCTTCAAGTTCCTTGTTGAACTGATGCCTGTTGCTGAAGGGCTCAGCTGCAAAGTGTGAGGCTGATGCTTCCTGTATTTATAGATGCATGCACTGTTCAGGAAGGGGTAAGTACCAGCTCTCTGTGGGGAGGGAGGAGATACAGGAAGCAGAGGGGAGCCTAGGTGGCGGGGGATGGGGTGGCAGTAACGATGAGAAAGGGGAACGGGACATTCCAATTCAGTGGAACAAGGAAATAAGAAACTAGAGGCTGCGGTTTGTGAGAGATGTTGTTATCAATTGATCTCATGCCAGTTTTGGGAGAGACCTCTTAGGCAACATCGGCCATTTGGTCAACCTGTTCCCACCCCTGACTCCCACTCATGTTCCTTCCAAATATAAACACTGGAGATCTTGATTTTGTTTGCTAATAGATGTTATGTTGAACCGCGTGGGCGGTTTTTTGTTTTTGGTACATCTAATAGAAATAAGCACTGAAGAAAGGCCAAAGTATTGCTCTGTTTTCCTTTGGAACGTATCAGAGAGGCTGTGAGGGGGGGGGTCTGTGAGGGGAGATCCAGCGTGGTGTAGTGGTTAAGAGCGGTAGTCTCGTAATCTGGGGAACCAGATTCGCGTCTCCGCTCCTCCACATGCTGGGTGACCTTGGGCTAGTCACACTTCTTTGAAGTCTCTCAGCGCCACTCACCTCACAGAGTGTTTGTTGTGGGGGAGGAAGGGAAAGGAGAATGTTAGCCGCTTTGAGACTCCTTAAAGGGAGTGAAAGGTGGGATATCGAATCCAAGCTCCTCCTCTTCTTCTTCGTTCTTCTTCTTCTTCTTCTTGTCTGGACAGCCCAGGACTTCCCTACATGTTGCCCAGGCTTGCGCCCCAGGGAGGTTAATTTGGTGCTGCTAAAGCAGTGGTCTGTCTTCACCCCCTGGAGGCACATGCCCAGGGCTGTCTTAAGCATATGTGGTGCCAGGGTGCAAAGATCCACCCGGTGCCCCCCCCCAGGTTGCCCAGTCCCAGGCGCGCAGGAGGGCGGAGCCGGCCAGCAGCCTCAGTTTCTCGCTGGCTCGGTCGCCCCCGAATTCGCGGCGCAGAGAAGAGCCTGCCACAGCACTCCTACAGATGGTTGGGCTCTTCCCTGGACTCAGTTCTTGGGCCCCGGACTCTCAGCCAGGTGCCCCTGAGAGACTGGCACCTGGGTGCCCTGCACCCCTAGCGCCTATGGGTAAGATGGCCCTGCACACACCATTGTCTCTTGAAACAGAAAGGCGCCAACAGCAGCAATATCCCTGCCTAATGGCCATGCTGGCTGAGGCTGATGTACTGAAACAGGGTCCCCCAACTCTGACCTGTAGACTGGAGCTTTAGCCTCCTGTGTCTAGCAGGAGTCTGTCCATGTCTCATCAGTGCCTTCATGGACTTGGTGTGGGGAGTCCATATTACACCACCATCCCCACAGCAGTTGGACCTGCTGCTGCAACTTAGTAACGATTCAAAATGGACCTGAGGCAGGTTCAATCCCCTACTGCTGTTACTCAATTTATACACTAAAGGAAGAGCCAAATAGGAGAACTACTTAAAATGGTTTCCAGATGGCATTTAAATCCGAGTAGGCTTGCTAAGATGTATAAGATGGAATCAGATAAACGCTGGAGATGCAATGAGGTTGAAGGAACGTTCTTTCATATGTGGCGGACCTGTAAAAGGGTAAAAGAGTTTTGGGAAATAATTCCTAATGAATTGAAAAAAATGTTTAAAAAGTACTTTTCCAAATAAAACCTGGAGTCCTTTTTTTGTTGGGGATAATTGAGATGGAAATTCACAGGTGTCAAAAAAGGTTATTTATGTATACCACTACTGCGGCCTCTGTTTTGTTGCCCCTAAATGGAAAATGAGCAACGTCCCAACTAAAGAAGAATGGCAACTTAAGCTGATGGAATATGTGCAGCCTGAAGACTTTAACATATAGAATAAGAGAACAAAAAGAACATACGTTTACAGAAGACTGGAAAATGTTTATAGAATAAATGGGGGGGAATTGTGTACACTTGAAAACGTTTGCAGCATTAAGATAAATTCAACAGTGTAAATAAGTTTTGATGGATGTAATAATGGAATACTGAATGGTTTAAGTTTATGTAAAATATGCAGGGATTTATGATATGCAAAATGAACCATAGAAAGAGAAGAAGGGAAGTCATTGATATTTTAAGGATGTTTAAATGAGTATTCTAAATTATAAAACAGTTTAAGAAATATATATATATATATATATATATATATATATATATATATATGCAGGTTTTGGTGTCCTCGGGTGTCTTCCCGTGTAAAAGTTGGGGTGTCTAGGCGACGTTTCGACGAGGTCTCACTCGTCATCTTCAGGCTGGTGCTTTCGGCTTCTTGTTACTGGAACAGAGCAGGATCTCAGTGTTTGAGTTCCTATAAATACTGTTGAGGAGGTGTGGTGTATAGCCTCCAATGTTCTGGGCAGAGAGGAAGTTCCCAGGCTAGTGTGCCTTTTCTTCTTTTGTTCCTTAATTACTTGAGGGATATCTTGAGTGATTTCTTGAGTGATATCCTGAGTACCACTTAGGTGGGTCATTAGGTGTGGATTAGTTGCTAAAGCCTTCGTGTCTTGACCTCTTGAACTTTGTGAAGAGTTTTTCTGAGAAGATGGCTGTACTGCACTTAGTTGTGCTCTGGCTTGGCTTCGTGTATAGGGGCGAGCTGTGGTTTTGTGGCCTGTGCCAGCCAGATCTGTGTAGGGATTGCAGGGGGGTGCAGCATCCGGAGGTGCCACCATGGTTTGGCTACTGGATGGTGTCTGTAATTTATCTGTGGAGAGGGTCTGGGTTTGGGTCTGGTGTGGTTGATTGGTGATGGCGTTCTGTGTGCCTCTGGATCTGGTGTCGTTTTTTGTGGGGAGGGCTAATTTCCAGATGTCTGGCAGGCGGGATGTGTCGTCACGCTTGTTCATGTTGTGAGGGTGTTTCTCTATCTCGATGGCTTCCATGATTATTCTCTTGTGGTGATGTTCCATGTTAAAGAGCAATTTGGAATCTGCAAAATTAATTTCGTGTCCTGTTTCTTTCATGTGTTGGAAAAGAGAGGGAGTTTTTTCTTCTTTTTTGACGGCATTCTTGTGTTCTGCGATACGTGCATTTATTCGTCTGTTTGTTTGTCCAATGTACGTGGCTGGGCAGACTTTGCAGGGTATTTCATAGACCCCTTGGTTTTCCAACTGGATTTTATCCTTGGGGTTTCTGAGGATATTGGCTATTTTTTGGTTGGTGCAAAAGGCTGTTTTGATATTGTGTTTATGGAGGATTTTGCTAATTTTATCTGTAGTGCCCTTGATATAAGGAAGGAGGGCCATGCCATTGTTTTCTTCTGTGTCTTGGTTTTTGGGGGGTGTTTCTTTTTGGATTAGCTTCGTAACCCTGTTTTGCTGGTATCCATTGGCGATTAACACATTTGAGAGATTCTGTAACTCAGTTGTCAAGTGGTCTTTGTCAGCCAGGCGTTTGGTTCTGGAGATGAGAGTCTTGGCTACGGAGTTTATTTGTGCAGGGTGGTGGTGTGATTGTGCATGTAAGTAGCGGTTGGTGTGTGTTTTTTTCCGGTAGATAGTGTGTCCTAGGGAGCCATCAGGTTTTTTGTAGACTAGGACGTCAAGGAAGGGAAGTTGGTTGTTGGCTTCTATTTCCATAGTGAATTGTATTTTGGGGTGTAGGCTGTTGAGGTGTGTGAGGAAGCTATCTAGTTTTTCCTTCCCGTGTGGCCAAATTACAAAGGTGTCGTCAACATATCTGAGCCAAAGTTTGGGTTTGTGTTCTGACTTGTCTAAAGCATTGGTTTCAAAGTGTTCCATGTACAGGTTTGCGATGACCGGTGAGAGGGGTGATCCCATAGGTGCTCCTTCTATCTGTTTGTATCTTTGTCCATTGTGGATGAAGTACGTGTTGGTTAGGCAGTGGTTGGTCAGGTCCAGGATGTATTCGGGGGGATTGTATTTGTTTTGAATGGCTGTCAAGGCTTCATTAATGGGCACTTGTGTGAAGAGAGATACAACATCGAAGCTCACAAGTAGGTCATTGGGATGTAGGTTTTGCTTCTTTATTGTTTCTATGAACTGGAAGGAGTTTGTAACGTGTGAAGAGATGGATTCTGCATAGGGCTGAAGTTGCTTAGCGAGAAATTTAGCGAGATTTTGTAGAGGTGAGCCTATGGAGCTGGCACAGGCCACAAAACCACAGCTCGCCCCTATACACGAAGCCAAGCCAGAGCACAACTAAGTGCAGTACAGCCATCTTCTCAGAAAAACTCTTCACAAAGTTCAAGAGGTCAAGACACGAAGGCTTTAGCAACTAATCCACACCTAATGACCCACCTAAGTGGTACTCAGGATATCACTCAAGAAATCACTCAAGATATCCCTCAAGTAATTAAGGAACAAAAGAAGAAAAGGCACACTAGCCTGGGAACTTCCTCTCTGCCCAGAACATTGGAGGCTATACACCACACCTCCTCAACAGTATTTATAGGAACTCAAACACTGAGATCCTGCTCTGTTCCAGTAACAAGAAGCCGAAAGCACCAGCCTGAAGATGACGAGTGAGACCTCGTCGAAACGTCGCCTAGACACCCCAACTTTTACACGGGAAGACACCCGAGGACACCAAAACCTGCATTCCTGTACCCGTGAAAATCTACGAAAGCAAATATATATATATATATATATATATATATATATATATGAATATGAGAAGGGCTGAAATGATTTGCAGCCAAAGAAAATATCCAATAAAGTGTCATGGACCAGGAGTCAGCTTCACCTGCTGAGCAGCAGCCCGAAGGGGGAGAAGGCAAAGGCGACACCACCTGTACCTGACCAGGCTTCAAGGTTACAGAGCAGAAGGCACCGATGAGAACCAGCTGTCTCTGGGCTTCTTAAATGCTGGAAACAGCACCTGTAGTTCCTGGCCAGACCTGGCTGTTCTGGACGTTTGGCTCTGTGATCATGTGGACTGCTTCCACCTGGCAGTTTATTGTGGTGGTGCTCATGCATGAAAGCTTTTTCTAGTGTCCCCTTGGCGTCCCCATCATATTTCCCCA